CCGCTTTGTCCGGTCTCGTTAAATGATGTATCGTTCGCGGCGCACCGGCCGGCTGGTTGGCTGGCTGGCTGGCTGGCTGGCTGGCTGGTTGGGTCGAGCAGGTAACGGAGTCACTCAAAAATTTACCCTCGCTAAACCGATGACATTTTTCTTCGTTCCTGTAAGCGAGCAATAAACGCGCGAATAGATGAATACAAACGTTCGACGTTCGATTCCCCGATGAAACGTGCCAGTCCTATCAACCGAGCTCCGGCCAATTGCGACCGGCTGAAGGGGTTCCGTCGGGTTGATCTTTGAACGTTTGGATTCGCCGGGATTCGGTCTTGTTAATCTTTAGGTGGAAGTGGCTGGGTGTCACTTGACATAGAAACTCTGATCGATTCCCGGTAGCTAATGACGCCGGCGGATTCCGAGCTGCCGGTTCCTACCGTTAGGTCTAACGATCAACCCCTTGTTACTTCTTTCTTGGCTAGCTTGTCGTTCGCGATGAAGGCATAATGGACGCGTGCAACCGAAGCAAAGAGGATTCGGTGCTTTCACGGCCTGGATTATTGAAATTTCGGCAGCTGTGTCCGGTGGGAGAGTGTTCCCAACGTTTCGTCGTTACTGCCATCGGAGGAGCAAAGACGCATTGATAACGGTGTGTGTAACGATGAAGAAACTAGTGTATTTGATCCAGAACACGAGTGAGCCGATATAAAGATAGTCTTCCTTGATACACCGTTATCAATACGTCGTTGACCCCTGAAGCCAGCTGCAGCGGCGAATCGTTGGGAACGCTTTTCTACCGGCTCCCACGAAAGCCAAGTTTCAATGCAACAAATCAAAGAGAGCCAAGCGAACTTTAATTGCCCCGAGGCAAATGAAGATCGGGCTGAACGCGAAACGGCTGGGAATAAGAAAAATCGCCGATGTTTCGCGGTGGAGGTTACCGAGAGGGGAAATCCGGCGGGCCGCGCAGCCGGTTAATCGCGCGTGAGATCGTCGCCGGAATCAAACAGGCCGATGATCACTCTTTACGAGGGCGGGTCGCGAATTACACGGGACTCGGGATCGGACCGGGAACAGTCGATCCGGGGGAGGGCGCGGCGCCGGGTTCCGAGAGGAGATTAGCAATGTCGGGGCGAGGTACGTTCGCGCGAAGATTAGATACACCGGGCAAAGGTGTAGTTAACCCGGGGTCTAGCCGGCGCTGATATACTAATTGAATTAGTTATTTCGAAGCGGAAAGTTAAGGGCACGTCTGCGCCAAGTTTTCAACCAGAAATAACTCGGCGAATCGACGTGCTCGCCGGCCGGAGCCGCGAAGCTCCGGCGAGGCTCCAGCTCGCGCGCACGCCCCGGAAAGTTCTTATTAACCAGAAGGTTTCGTTTGATATCGAGCATGAGTATTATTTAATTATCAATTCGGCGGGGGGAGCACGGAGGTCGGCGGCCATGCGCGATGCGGCCTCGGGTCGACGTTGGATTCTACAGCGCGTTTCAAACGAACGACGTTCGAGTCGCTTAGAAACCGACGCGGTTAGATGCGGAACAGGACAGTCGAGGACATTCATGATTTGTGAAATGATTGTACGATATATTAAGGGCTTTCTGGCCTAGAACGAAAGAAGCCGGTGAATCCTTGAGTAACTGAAAGGAATTTGAAACTTAGAAAATTGTCAGAAAATTGAATTTGAAACAAAATTGAGAAAATCGAGCCAGAAGCTTAGAATTTCGATAGCGATCGATTCGCTGACGCGTTGTCGCGAGAGTCTTTAGACAAAATTGCTATATAATATTGCTTATATAATATTCTTCCTCGGCAAAGTGAAAGACGCTGGGAATAATTGTGAATGACCCGGTACCGGAGATTCCGTAACACGCGCTTTGTCTGGCTACGTTAGCTACTATTTCCATTGCACATCAATCTTCCGATTGTAATTGTTCCCGAGCAATTCGGAAGCGCCTGTTATCGGTTACCACCGCGGCAGTCAGCGTGTTAATTAATGTGTATCGATCCAACGGTAAATTAAGAACGTATAACTAAATCCTGGCGCAACTCGCGACGTCGACGGCCATCGCCGCTTCTTCGACCGACGCGCGATCGATGGAGATCGCGAAAAGATAGCGTATCGGAGAGACGGAGGAAAAATTCGATTGTCGCTGATGGGAATGGGCCACCGTGGATATTTATGGATATTCGATTTGAACGCGATCGATTCTTTTCCTCTCCACCCGGCGAATTTACATGACCATTGTCGACGCATTACATTTACAGTCCGCTTGTTTTCCCCGCGAGCGAGTGCTCGTCGATAAATCGATCGGCCGGTCGGTTATGCTCCGTATAAAAGTGCCCGTTAAAATATTCGACCGGGTGTTTACGTCGCGGCCGTGTAAAACGCGAATTACGGAGTATCCGGTTCTCTTCTGTTCCCGGTCTGTTCCTCGTGCGCGGAGAATAAAGGGAATCCGTGCAACGACGCCCTCCGACGCCGTTGAGTCTTCGTCCCGAAATGTCCCACTGAAAGCATTAAAGGCATGAATTACTCGGCCCGCTGAACGTTAATTAGGAAATATTCTGGACGACCGCAGATCGCGGAGCAAGCGGCGCGCACCCGCTCCGAAAATATTTCGCTATTGATTCGCTGGTAATCCGGGAATCATGCGATAGTCTTCTAGTGTACGCTAAAAGCTTCGGATTAATCGAATGACGACGATGCTATTGTTCAGTTGTCAAATCTTTCCATCCGCTTCGCGGAATACCGAATTTCCGTGGAGGTAACGACGGAAATATAGGTGGCGTGTGAATAAATATAGGAAAAACCAATATACGTCGATCGTTAACCTCTGGGGTAAACGTAGGCGAACGGTTATGGAGATATATAATCTTCCCCTTTTTAATGAGTCGTCAACGATGAAGTAGCTTCGTCGAGCGCGGTTGCGCAAGGAATCATAGCACAAGAAGCTAAACGCGATAGAACCGAATTTGTCACAACTCGAGAAGTTCGCGGTCCCGCTGAAACACGAGGGATCACGCGAGACCGCGAGAAGGAAAGAGACACACACCTACGGCATGCTCGGCTAAAGCTGGGTCATTTCATTTGCAAGGAACGGATATAGAGATGCAGTGATACCGTACGACGATCCAAGCGGTCTCGCGTGTGCCGCTCCTAAACAAACGCCGCGCCTCCTGTCCTTGTGTCGCGGCCTGCGGCATCACAGGCTTATTTGTCCGTCCCCCACCGGTGTCCGTCGCAGAATACACAGCAAATCTTAATCATAAATAAACATTTATGTTGTATCAGTTATCAGCGAATACACGTGATGTTCGGTGACGGTCGCCGGTGTCCGTCGCAGAGTATACGGTAAACTTCGATAAGCAAACGTTTACGTGTCAATTATCGGAGCAGCGTGAAACTTAGCGACGGTCACCGGTGACCGTCACGGTGGTGAACGTGCCAATAGTACCGAGTTTTTGTATTATACGTTGTATCGACATACCTGCGATTATGTTTCGGATTTCGCGAGACAAACTTTGGGAACGCAGGAACAAATTGCTCCATGTTTAGACGAAAGTTGCGAGAAGTTTCGTCCAGCGGGAGGGACAATTAAAATGCGATAAAACATTTTATTAGCGTGGCCGTTAATGATCGCGAAACTTCTCGCTGAAAGGACGGCGACGTTAACTGGATACACTTTATTCCCCGGTAAGCTGAAATCGGAATAATTGCACAGGAATTACTGTTTCCCCGGGCGAAGAGATGTACAGGGTGTTCGATAATACCCGGATCTACGGGGGAAACAATATCAAATACTGCCGGGAAGTTCTGCGATTTTCTCGGGAGTACCGAAGAAATGGGCGAAGAATTATTTGACGCGCTATGCATAAAATTTGGATTACTCTGAAGGAAATATTTCTGCTTTTGAATCAATTCTGAAAACGTATGAAACACTTACTGTCGGATGCTTAAAATAGTCTCTGCTACGTGTTTCTGAAAATAATGATAAGCAAGGACTTATAAATCTACAAATAGAAAAATTCATTCGATTTTTGTCAGCTGGAATAAGTTGGTCACGGGTTATATCCGTCATATGTAATTCTTTTAATAGACTAGAGCACGAATAAACTAGGATACAACGTGGAAACATTTTGTTTATATTTCACGTTGCTCATTTGTTTCATATCTTTCAAATTAAATGTCCCTTGTGATCATTATTCGTGGAAATATCGATGAAGCGCAATTTAGGAGACCGATAAAGCAATTCTCTCCTACTGTGAGTCAGTGACGCTCATCTTGGAGCTGGACGGACGCGTGTCTCCCTCTTTGAGGGACACCGGAAGCAGCTAATGATTCGGCACGATAGAAATTGGATCGACTCATGGAACCATGGGCTTGCAATGGATTTCTCGTAACAGAAGAAGCTTCATTCGAAAAGCGAAAACTGTAGATTGCCAATGACCACCGCTGCTGCAGAAAATAGTGGCATCGCGTGTTTGGTTTGTGGATATGTTTTCGTCCAGTGATCGCGTGTTGATTGGCCAGTATTTGTCCGACTACTGTCAGACGCTGTTTCTCACTCGCACGAACATATAGAGTACAGATACTACAATGATTGCATCTACTGGGAAAGTTATCGCTCCAGGGATAAGTTTTCTGTAACTCTCAGGCGTGGCGCAGACGTGAGTGATGACCACGATCAGTCGAACTAAAAGTTTAAATTTATGACTGTCCGAATTCGTTGCGACTCGGACTTTGACAACTTATTTCTGGAGATTGACTGCCTTGATGGGGCTCACGAGAGAATGTAATTTACTGGCGAAGGATATTAAAGAAAATAGAAGCTAGCGGGGAATGAACTGGAGGTGAAGGCATTGCGGGATGCGCAGTTTCCTAGAAATAATATCGATCCTTTATTTCATACATTCCCAGTGATTAGGAACGATAGAACTGTCTTTTTTTATGGTAGCTTTTATTTCGTTTCGTTTGTAACAAAATATAAATTAAGAATTACCTTAACGCGAACTTCAAGATGTTTCAACTTCACGGGCATTCTCGGACATTTCGCTGGGCGTTTGAAACACGTCGCGGGCATTTTGAAATACAGAAACTAGGGCGTTCAATTGCACTGCTTCGCTGCAACCAATAGCAACCCTCTTTTCTATTTCTGCTAATTTAATCACCAGATCAATAAGTACCGGGTCCGGAAATTTGACTGAAACAAAATAATTAAAAACGTGGCGCGGCTCTGTAAAATATCGGATTAAATTACTGGCTACATACTTTTGTTTACAAACAAATGGACTTCTGTTAGTATGTCTTGTAACGCAAGCCCCTTCTTCAATTTTATGTCTTGTATTTCTGTAGAATCGTATGTTAAGGAATATATGTATGACTTCTAGAATAATGAATGTTACTTGTGGAACAGATAAGGATACTGCAATAACAGAGTTCATACGACTCGTTCAATAACCAATTCACAATATTTGCTATATCTATTGGAAGAGGATGTCCAACACAAGTGTAGACGGTTTCTTCTGTAACTGAACCAAATGCAAGCCACGTGCTCTGAAGTACATTTAAAACTTTCCTCATATCTCCTCCACTTAGGGTGACCAATGCTTTTTTGCCATCTTCGCTGACTTCCAAACTGAAATATTCATGTTGGTGTAATATGAATAAGAATTCATCTACAAAACTACAGACTCACTTCTCTTCTTTGATAATATTATCTAGCCTAGGTATAATCTGACTTTCAGACAATGGACCAAATCTAAACTTGGTGCAACGGGACTGAAGAGCAGGAATAATTTTACTCAGGTAGTTGCATATGATACAAAACCGTACATTGTCTGTATACTTCTCAATAACTGGAACATAAGATTCCATTAATGCGTATTCCTTAAATTTGAAACAGTCTAATATATAAGACTTACTTCTTCTAAGAGCATTTTGTGCATCATTCGTCATAGCATCTGCTTCATCAAGGATAATTAGTTTAAAACCTGATCTATACATTGTACCTGTACTTGCAAAACTAAGAATCTGACCCCTGACTATACCAATACCTCTGTCATCTGAAGCATTCATTTCTAGTACCTATAGATGCAAATTAATTCCATATATGGTGTTCAAATATAAAAAGAATAATTTTTAATAAGTTGAAATTAAACCATTGAATTGAATTGGGCTGGTGTATACAGTTTTCGAGCACACGCAAGTATTGTACTGGTTTTCCCTGTACCGGGTGGACCGTAAAATAGAAGATGAGGAAGTTGATCATCATCGATAAATTTATTTACTGTAAAAATGATTTACTTAATGAAATATTGTACTATTTAATCGTATAGTATCTACAGATTAAAATACTAACTAGTTTTAATAATTTCCTCGTGAGATATAAGGTCCTCTAACTTTTTTGGACGATACTTCTCAACCCTGAATGAAGGAAAATAAATTACAAGATACACGTGGTTTTGCGAATACTTATAACACAAGACTACAAAGTGAAACACAATATTCACCATGGCAAATTCATAACAGCTCCTGCTTTCGATGTCATGATTTCTAGTTCAAGCTCCTATTATAAACTTGGATGTAAAGACAACATGAGGTTAGCGGTAACACATTTGGCGGTTAACTGACGCAGCTACAAATGGCGCTGCAAATGCGATGTTTCTCATTCAAACAGAATTCCCTGATTGGTTGACGGACATATCGAAATGCATCTTGGAACCTTTGATTGGAATTCAAAACTTTCAATCGCTAAATTAATCCTAATAATAACGTAATAAACAACGGCCTCGTTATATCGTTCTCTGCAATCAATGTTGCTCTTGAAGTTCGACCTTTACGAATAACTGAGACAAACATTTGGCGAAGGATAACAGGCAAGCCCAAAGAAATTCAAAACTGTTTATAACCATTCAAAAGCTAACGAAAGTAACGGAAAAAAAGTAAACAACAAAAAATACAATGAGTAATTTCGAATTGTGTGACAAACCTCTCGACTACATATCACTCGCGAAAACTAGGTTTAAGTTAACCTTAAGAGAGTACCAAGATGACGAGTACTTGAAGACTGAATTTCTCGAAGTGATAATTAACAAAAACATGAGCAAATATTACGAAGAAGTTTGCAAGGAATTGAATTGGAACGTCAACGAAGAACTGCTCGAGCAAATGAAATCTGCCAATGAAACCGCATGGCAAAAGCTGGAGACCTCTGACGCGTTGACTCCGGAAAATTCGACGAAGCAAAATTGGCGGGAAAAGCTGGACTTCTTCTGTGAAATCGGCGACCTTGATCGCGCCACGGATATCGCTAACGCAATATTCAAGGACGAAACTAATTCATCGAGCATCAGAGTCGAAGCTGCCTTCGGTTTATTTCGATTGGCGTACGCGAGGAACAATTGTCGTTCGATGGGAAAAATAATCGGCGACATAACCCATTTAATGGAAACGTCTTGCGGATCGGCCAGCGACTGGTGCTGTCGTAACAAACTAAAAGCGTACGAGGCCATTTACTGTTTGGCTACTCGACATTTTCTGCGCGCCACCACACTTTTATTGGATTGCACGCCGACTTTCGAATCCTACGAATTGATATCCTTTAAAGACATCATCGAGTACACTGTGCTTTCCGGAATGATCTCATTGTCGCGGCGCGATCTTGATCGTCAGGTTAACAACAATGGAATCCTGCAGCAGGCTTTACTTACCGAGTCCGTTCGGTACCGAGACTATTTTCTTTCCTTCTATGACTGTCGTTACAAAGAATTCTTCAGGAATCTTGCGTGGATAGAGACCGAGCTGAAAGCAGATCCCCTGCTCCATCCCCATTATCGTTATTACGTGAGAGAGATGCGTCTAAAAGCATACTCCCAGCTGCTGCAGGCGTACAGGACAATTAATTTAAGTAGAATGGCGGCAGAATTTGGCGTGACGGATGAGTACATAGAACAAGAAGTGGCACGTTTTATTGCGAGCGGTAAGCTGCACTGCAAAATCGACAAAGTGGCGGGAACAATTGTTACCGTCAGCAGTGCCGGCTGCGATCGAGGCAAAGCACCTGACGCCACCTGTGACCGTGGATTGAATTATCAGAATACGATAAAACGGGGAGACACGTTACTTAACCGACTGAAGAAACTTGGCCAAGTTATCGATTTTTGAACATGATTTTTCCGTGAAACCGTTATTGAGATTATTATTTAAATGTTGCTTCCTGTAAACAATGAATTGAAACTTTTATTTCAATGTTATTTAACGTCAGATCGCTGGGGATTTCTTTCCATCAAAATTCCTGAAATTAGTATAATAATATTAATATTATGATGTATAACAAATAGGCATCTACTGATCAATACAAAAAGGTGTAAACCTGGGAAGATTGATATTTTATGTTAAAAACGTTGCTTATGGTAATATATGAATGTATTGGTATTTCAATTGATTTGAAGTATTGCTATGTCGTGCGCCATATGTTCATGTTACTGTGTATACCGCAGTCACGATAATCGTGGTTCTGAAACTCTGTGATCCTGTTGAAATAAGTTTCCTTTTTCAAGGAAAATATTCGTAAAATGGACTTAATTTATTTTGATTTGTTACTTACGTTTTAATTCATAGTCAATCAAGAAATTTGTGACTGTTTCATGAAAGCTTGGTGAACATGTCGTTAACATAACCTATACACGTGTAACTTTCAAGCAACAATTTTAGTATGCTCCTTTTAGCAAAGTTGATTGATATTTAGATCAACTATGGCTCATAAGTTTTTTAAGAGATATCCTAGGACGCTTATTAAACGGCCTACGGATGTCAAGCAGTATTTTAAATACTTGCTTGTAATAGATTTCGAAGCTACCTGTACGGAATGGGAGAAATTGAAACCCCAAGAAATCATTGAGTTCCCATGTGCAGCAGTATCTACGAAGAATTGGCAAATTGAGAATATGTTTCATGAATATATTAAACCAAAAGTACATCCAAATCTTTCTCCTTTTTGTACAACATTAACCGGCATTATACAGGAAATGGTGGAAACTCAACCACACTTTCCAGAAGTGTTTGATAAATTTATTAAATGGCTAGAAGAAAACAAGTACATGGAAGATGAGAATAAAGCTGCCTTCGTTACATGCGGTCTCTGGGACTTACGGATAATGCTACCAGAACAATGCGAGATAGACAACATAACAATACCAAAATATTTTGCAAGGTGGATCAATTTGAAAGAAAGCTTTTCCGATGCAACAGGATATTATCCTAGAAGTATGACAGACATGCTGTCATTCCTTGCACTTCCTCTGGAAGGAAGACTGCATTCTGGCATAGATGATGTAAAAAATATGGTTAGAATAATACAATATCTACACATGAAATATAACCCACCGTTTAAAGTAAACACTGCACCAGAAGTGATATTGAAATATTTAACAAATAATTTTAAAATACCTGTGAAGTCTTAAGAAAGGAAGAGTTTGTATAAAATTTGTTTATTCGTAATAAAATATATTGTTCATATAAAAATGTAAAATTATAGCTATATGCTGACTAATAAATATTAGATAAAAGTATTAACTTTAATGGAGCAATTTACATTCGTTTAACGTTCACTTTTATTTGTACATCCAGTTTGTTATTCTCTGTATAAATCTCGAGCACTGCGTTAAAGCTGCGATCGATTTTTCGTTTGCATTGTATCTTTAATTGAAAATCTCTTCTTGTGGGTATCATACCTTCCGCGGGCATAACGCTTAAGTATTCTGTATTTGACAAAGCAGTATCAAATACTTGGGCGACAGTACAGGTAGTTTTTATAGTTACAATCGCTTCCATTTTTGTTGGTGGAGTTAAAATTACAGTATTTGGCGTAACTATGAAATGACCGACATTTATCGCATGTTGAAACGTACTGTTCGCTAAGAGCGTACTGAAAATATTATAATTTTTAATCATATTTTTATAAATATTTATACAATCTTCCACTGACTAAGTAGTTTACTAGAAACTCACTCGGAAGGTAGAAAACTTTCGCCATTTCCATCATATATGTGACTATTATCACTACAGAGAGAATAAAACATTTGAGACTCGTCAGCATTATCGTGAAGGACCGATAAGGTTTCATCAGCACACACTTCCATCGTTAGCATAACTTCATGTTGCCAGATTCCCCGACATAGGTCTCCCAGATTTTGCTACATCGAAATGGACAAATTAACATCAGCTAAAATAGAAAATAATTAGTAAGTATTCACCACTGAATCTCGGATAGTGTTTATGTCCGACATCAATTGTTCTCCAGGGAAAACTTTGCATATCGGTTGAACTATATTCTTAAATGCTTCATTTTCACTTCCACTTAATTCGCCAGTCTCCTTCATCTTGTTATATAATCTAAAAGTTCCATTTTTCAAAATGATAGCATTATCTAATTTACATTGTTTGCTAGAGTTACAGCTTTAGCAAGAATCACTCGCCTACGAATTCGCCACCGTGAGGGTTCATCCCCATGGGTAATGAGTATTGTTCCTACATGAGATACGTCCGATCGTCGCAACAATGCTAAATCTTCTTTTCGCGGATGAAATTCCAAAGTTACCCATTGCGTTTCTTTTGGATTTAATATTAACTCGGTAGGATTTACGCGCCAACTCGAAACCATAGAAGGATACACAGCTAAAGCAGTTCAGAAATAAATTAATGAATCGAATATTGATCAATGTACTCGTTCCTTGCTAACAGAACAAACCTTTTGGTATTAATTTTATTTTAACATATGAACACAGATCACCAGTGTTTTGCAATCTGAGTTTTGCGCTTAAAGAACCACCAGAATTTAGTGTACCAAGAGACAGCCACATTTTTCCACTTGTATCTTTATATGCTTCAAAAATTTCGACCCTGCTGTAGCCACCATAACCATACAAAAATAACTGAAAATAAAGTATGGTGAACTGACCAAATTTCTTAATTAATATAAAGTATGTTCGATAAATTTATTTACCAATTTTGACGGCCGAGATTCACTGTCGTCCCTTCTGGGTTCATAATGTCTGAATATTATTTTACCAGTAGCTGCACCCAGATGATGAGGATTAAATGCAACTGACAATGTTCTGCTTTCTGAACCTTGTAACACCAGGACTATACTTGTACCACCCACATGTCGGTCTCGCAAAAACTAAAATCAGATGAATTCTGTTAAACAACATAGAACAGTAATTATGCAGATTAATTGTAACGAATTTTATAGTGATATCTTACACGAAAGTTCTTCTCGTTGTCAGATATAATAGCCTGAAGCTTTATCTTGTTATTACTGATGTTGCGAATAGTAAACTCCTTAACATCAGATTTTCCCGCTTTTATGCTATTCCACACTAAAGCGGCGTGAGTTGTTCTTATAGGGATTTTCTCACCAGCAACTGTTGAGCCTGATACTGAACTTAATGGGGAATTTCTTCCGGACGTTCCAGACCTGCTCAAAATCAGTCGATGCAATTTAAAAGTTTACACAGTTGGTAGAAATGCTTGTAGGTAACTTACTTGTTTGAGATCACACTATGGGGAGACGATGGAGAACTAACAGATGATAAAATCTGGGGAGTTTCACAGCGAAGATACGGCTCATTTTGTGTTTCCTGGTAATTACTTGACTCTCCATATACAGAGTACTCGTACACATTATTGGCAACCTTGAATTGAATTTTTGTAACCCTATAAGAGCATTAATATGATAATATAAAGATACTAAAGATGCTAAAAGATACTGTACATTTTAAAAGAATTCGCTTACATTTTCGATGCATCCGTATTTTGTGATTTATATGCAACATTAAAACAACCAGCCTTGTTGGGTTGTAAAAGTAAATTCTCGGGTTGAACACTGAAATACTTGGAACTTTTTCTAGAATCCATGTCTACGAACGAAGCAGATACCCATACCGGCATATTCCCATTATTGATGACATTCATCGGTTTACTTTGTTTATTTAACACAACAAAAGGTAGGTCTGTGTCGACTACTTGTATCTTACAGACTCCTACTTGTGCAACTAGGGCTATTTCCTTTATTATCATAGTGTCATCAAGGCCGTATTCTGCCTGGATTATCAGATTACCATCGTAATGCTCCAAAGATCTTTGAGCTGGATCTGAATGTTTCTGTAGAACACCTTTACACTGAACATTTACAGTTATACTTCCCTGGGATTTTAGTGTCACGCGTTGCACTTGACTAAAATTTTCCAAGCCAAATACCAATGGTTCATCCTGCAAAAGACAAAACAATAATAAGGAATATTAATTTATTATTTAACTCGAAACGTGCGGTGATGCTTGAATTATTACCTGTGATATAGAAAGCCTCAGGCATATATCAACGCTATTTTTGTTCTTAATAGTAATAGGAAGGTCGGCCGTGCTACTTTCAATAATGCATTGAAAATCTAATTCGTTCTTCTGAGATGGGTTTGAAATAATTACATTTAACTCTTCGGGTTTGAAGCAAATTAGATGCTTCATGATCCATTCAGATCTGGTTACCATGTCTGAGACTGTTATATTTAAAACTGCTATAATCGGTTTACACATTTTAGCAACTGTCACATTGATCTGAAACACAGCAATTTTAGTTTTTATATGACAATAAAATTCCTATTCCATCCTCACCTTCGCCTTTTGTTCTGAATTCGGTTTGATAAGTATGACATCGTTTGGTAATACAAGTTGAATATTTTGCTTATCACCTTGAACTTGACTGAGACTCAAGCCGCATATAACCCATCTATCGCTTTTATTTACAAGTTCGATGTCAGTTTCGTTCGGTAAACCGACGATACAGTTACACAATTCCTCTGTGCTTTTACCAATGACAACATCTGCAAGATTAAAGTATTAATAATGTCGGGAAATCAAATGTGTAAAAAGTTACAAGCACTATAGTGTCATAATAGCATACTATTTAACTGAGATTCAATTCCTTCAGAATTTGAATACTCTCGTACAAAAGACTCTGTTTTATCTTTATAAGAAATATTTTCTTCTTTTATATTTCCTTTCTTCTCCATTTCTTCAATTTTCGAATTAATAGATTGTTTCTCTTGCTTCTGTTTTACATTAATTTTTGAAACACAAGATGACATGTTTTGCTCTATATTGTAATGTAAAAGAAGTAATTTAGGAACTTCCAGTAACGATTATCTACTATAATCATCTACTACAGATGATCGTAATTAACCTACCTCAAACAAAGGAATTCTATTGAAATTCTGATAAGCTTAATTAATGTTTTATATACCTTGATTATATGGCGATGTTAAATTTCCATTACTTATTTCTTTTTTAAGCTCCGGACAAGTAGTCTTAAAGTTCCCTTTTGCACCCACGTTAGAATTCAAGGATAACATACTTGATACTGATTGTTTAACACCTAACGTTTCACTCGGAATTTTGCTATCTAAAGACAGTTTGGAAGAAAGATTTAACAATGCAATATCTTTTTCAAAACTCTCCAAGTTTCTACTTGAGGCTGCAGGCATGGACTTCCTAGTTGAAGGTAATAACGTGTAAGTATCCCGATTTGCTTCTTCTTTGGTTTGTGTAGATTTCTTCTTTTTCTTTGCCATTATAAGTTGATCCACCAATCTTCGTGGCGTACCACTGTCAATATCCTGCAGTGCTTGAGCAATACTAGTTAAACTCATAATACTCTGTTCTTCTACATCTTTCATCACACTTGGATTGTTTTGTATAGTTTTATTCTTAGCATCAATTGAACCAACAGAGGATGCTACAATAAGTGTCAGTTCATTAGTAAAAATTATCCTTTATAAAACACAAATAACGACAATGTGTTAGTCAAAACTAATCGTCATACTTTCTGTTATTATAGTTGAATCAACCAACGGTATAAGATGACTTGTCTTTTTGGGACTATTCACAGACAGTCCTAAACTTGGCCTTTCAACAGCACCATCCGCTAGCTCTCCAAAATTACCGCATTTCCTTTTAAAAAACTCGTCAACGGACATTTTGCGGCCAGCACAAGATCTAAAAGTTAGCCACATGACGATCGTAAAATATAAACCACAGTGAATTTTAAAAACTCACTCTACTGATAAATCCAGTTCACCAATGATACCAGAGAAACAAGACAAATTCAAATATTCCTTCTCAGGATTAGCTGTTGTTGGAAGAGCATATGAATAATTTTGCTGCCATGATGCTTCATCAGCCAGCATCTGGCTGGCCATTTCGGAAGCAGGTCGGAATTCTTCATTATTAAATTGAGCCATCAATTCAGCTGTAGTTGAATCGAATGTTATTGCATTGACATTCTTATTAGATAATGCTGACAAACGTTTCTCTGAACTTCTGCTCAATCCAGATGATCGAGCACTTATCTCATTCGGTTCAAAGACAATCTAAAAATGAAGTACTATAAGAACAGTGTTTTAATCATTTTCTTTCTACAAAGTAATACCTACACTACTTGTTTTGTTAACAGCTGAAGGCAATGTACTTTCATTTGGAATACTTGTTTGGTTGTAACTCATAAACTGTCCTTGATCAACAAGAGCTGAAGGTGTTACATTGCTGGACATGTTTTGAATATTAACATTGTTTTCTTTGTTTGTATCTGGAAGAATTGTTGAACTTGTATACGACTTTTTACAAAATATATATACAGATACACGTAAATGTTACCATGTGTGATAGATGTGGGCTTAATATTACTACAACTTTGCAGTAATTTCCTAGCAAGTTCACGTTCTGTATCTAACTTATTTTCATTTTGGTTATTTAAATCACCTGTTTCACTTACTTCAGCTAGAACTATTTTAGAAATTAGCGTTTAAAAATAACTTCGATATAATGACTATAAGAGCATATACTTACAAGAAGATATGTTATCCAATATGCCAAGAGATGAATCATCAGACTTATGTGTTATATCACCTTTGCTTATCATGGGTTGTTTGTACATTGTTTCATGGATATCCTCATTGTAGAACTTACTTCCTAAACTGTAAAAAGTCATTAGTGTCCGTTCCAACCAGAAATTACTTAATTGTAGTGTGTTAGAGAAAATGGACTTAAAAAAAAAAATAAACGTTAATTACGACTCAACCTAATAGTATATACGTTCGTTGAAAAATGATATTTAATTGATAAATATTCTTCAGAACACAAAAGAGAGCAGACTTACGTGCTTTTCCTCTGTACAGTTGAAGACGCTTTCGGTTGAGGAGTGCTTAATAAAGTCACATCAATAAAATTCGCATCCGAAGACTTCGATGGTGTAAACATTGTTGAGTTTTTCGTTTATCGTGGAATTTTAAAATACGAATATCATTCAAGATAAAGACACCTGTGCACGGAAGACCCTGGGCGACGTTTCATTTGTTAAATTGACGAAACAAAGAGAAGGTTGTACCATGTTATCCTTAACGTTTGGTTTGACAGTTGAACGATTTTAGCGTTCAAATTTGAAAATGTTCCGAGATAATTAAATCCATAGATAAATAATGTATTTTCCAGATTGGCATCGTATAATACCTGGGAAACATTGTACAGCGCCATTCGTGTTTGAACTTAGAATCTAAAAACCAACGTCGGAAATACGAAATTCATTCGAATTGATGCCTTAAAAACAAATAAATATATGTACAATGTCTCTTAAAGAATTAATGTTAAATTGATTATACTGCAAAAATTAATTACTAGGCTGAACATATTTGAACTGATATTGGCTATTTCCTTTATTAGATACTTCATCAAATTTGGAATGAAGTGAAACTTTGATAAAATATTTTTACACTTAGATCAATACATGAAATTCGTAATCTACTAATTATTTATTTTTACAAAATAATTTAGATGGTTAAACGTGTATCGTTATTTAGAACATAGAAAGTAAATTAGTAGAAGATTGGTAACTCATACATAATAAGTGTAATGAAACTGCCACCTAGTTCAAATGACACTGAAACCAGTGCCATGTGCACAATGTTATTTACTTGCTTGTCACAATGCCGTAGAGAAAGTCATACGGTGGCTCTCATTTAATTATTTGCAACAGGAATGCGTAAAAATCGGAAATATTTTTATATATATGGTGTATCAATGAAGGACCGTAGGATACAGTCGTTTACACTGTATAAATAAAGGAGACTTCTTTGCTTTGGGAGGTTACGTTTCTGTAATGCTATTTTACATTTATTCTTTAGAATTTATATTACACGGTACAATATATTGACAATACAATGGAGGAGAATATAAAGACAACACCGGAACGAAAACGCTTGACTTACGAAAATAAACTTATACTGGCACCTATGGTGCGTGTCGGCACACTTCCTATGCGTCTTCTTGCGCTCGATTATGGTGCTGATATAGTATATACAGAGGAACTGATAGATTGGAAATTACTAAGATCATTTCGTCGTGTAAACGGTAAGAAGAACATTTGAACTTTAAACTAATGGCTGACAGTGTTACAACATTTTTTTTATTAAGAGTGCACACCACCTAAAGACGTTTTTAAAGTTTAATCTTCTTTAGGATGTCCCTAGGTGGTATCCCTCCTTAAATTTAAGTTATTAACATAAATGTTTTTCAGATGTTTTGGGAACGATTGATTACATAGATAAAACAGATGGCACAGTAACATTTCGAACATGTCCCAGAGAAAGAGATAAAGTGGTATTACAAATTGGTACTTGCGATGGAACTAGAGCTCTAAAAGTAGGAAAAATGGTGGAGCAAGATGTTGCTGGAATAGATCTTAATATGGGATGTCCAAAACTGTTTTCTATGCTAGGAAAAATGGGTGCTGCTCTTCTTCAAGAACCAGAGACAGCAACAAATATTCTGAAAACATTAGTTGATAATTTGAGCATTCCAGTAACATGTAAGATTCGTGTATTGCCAGATGTGGAAAAGACCCTTGAACTGTGCCAGCTTTTAGCATCTACCGGTATATCAGCTATAGCGGTTCATGGTCGGACTGTTAATGAGAGACCACAACACGCAAATCGCAATGATGTTTTAAAAATGATTTCCAGTAAACTTTCAATACCAGTTATAGCAAATGGAGGCTCAAAAGAAATACAGAGATATTTTGATATATTAAAGTAATACCATAGTGATTTTTTTATACCGAATTGTTGTAAAGTATTTCATATGTTTTTATTTATACAGTTTAAAAGTAATTATAGGTATTTGCAGATTTAAAGAGGTAACAGGTTGCAGTAGTGTTATGCTTGCACGTGCAGCTGAATGGAACTGTTCGATATTTTGTAAAGAAGGTTTACTTCCCATGGAAGATGTGATAAAAGCATATATAAAGTATGCTGTAGATTGTGACAATTCACCTTCCAATACCAAATATTGTATACAAAATATTCTTCGTGAACAACAAGAGTCACCACTAGGCAGAAGGTTCCTGAATTCTCAAACTCTGGAACAGATATGGTATGAACTGTATTTGATAAAGTTTAAAACAAATATGTCGCATAAAGCATTTTGCAACTATGTAATTGTATTACCAAACAAATTTATAATTACGTTATTTTAGTGATGTTTGGGAACTAAGTGATTACTGTCGTTCAAAGAGAAAAGAATTTGAAGAAAAAGGTTTGCTAGGTAGATCTCAAGTTTCACCTATGAAAGAGGATGAAGTACACCTTGAAGATCAATCGTGCAATAAAAGGAAACTTTCGGAAGAAGAGGACATAGTACTAATGCATTGTGCATTTCTAAGAAATAATTATGTCTCAGATCTTGAATTGCCCAAGACTATTTTACATAAATGGACACAGACTCAAAGAAAAAAGATGCCACAGTACGAGACGCATCAGAAGGGGAAACTCTTTCGATCCGTCATTACAGTCGATGGAAGAAAGTATGGTTCATCGTTTTGGTAAGTAAATATGTCGCGTTAGGTGAATATTATCTTACATTGTTACTTCAATGTTTTTTTTAGGGAAAAGAACAAAAAGTGGGCAGAGCAAGGAGCTGCATTAGTGTGCCTATTTTCTTTAGGCCTAGTCAATGAAAAATCTGTCTGTACAACAGGAAACATTTCTTCCTGATATCCGATATTGCTTTTGTTATCAATACAGAAACTTTTCTGTTATGTAGTATTGTAATGTTTATATTTATTAATAAAAATTTATTAAAAACAATATTAAATTTTAGGATTAACTTTTTCAATCCCTATAGATATATAAGAGCATTAATAAAGTGCAGAATTTAATGCCACTATCGATACTTGAAATTTATTTATTAAAAACAAAATACAGTCAGATGTTGTCGCCCTCTATCATATGTATTCCGAATTTATGTTGGAATTGTGTGTGTAGTTGCATCGTGTTGCAGAAATTAATTATGTTTAATGAATCCTGTAAATAAGATTAATCTAGATAAATGAAGGTTCTTTAAGAAAAATACAAAAGTTTTATTATATTCTAATGAATAAAAGTAAAATTTCGTTATAACATAAAATAAACATCCGGCAGTGATAAATAATGGGTCCACCAAAACGATTCAAAAAAGATAATGGTATGAGATTTATTACCTTCTTGAAAACTATTTAATAATTTTCGTCAAGTTATCAATAACTTTTATAAAGCAAGTGTTATATTTTCCATAAATAACGATTTGTTTTCGCGTATCAGGTTATCTTGCACAAACATCGAGAGAAACAGAGATTGTTTACCTTTTCAGATAGAGGCAAATGGAAAAAACGTAAAGAAGATCCAGAAGAATATAATGAAGATGATTCTATAGACGATAATGAGGCAGATGGTGTGCCAGATGCAGCTAAAAATGATGTTGAAAAACAAGATGAGACAGCATTAGAAGATGAATTCGGTGCAAAAGATTACCGGTCTCAAATGATTTTAAAACCTGATTGTGCAACAAGACCACTATGGGTGGTAAGACATTAACATCAAATCATTTATTTTAGTGTTATCATTTAATGTTTAATGTCATTATTTAAAAAAAAATGATTTATTTAGGCTCCAAATGGACATATTTTCTTGGAATCCTTTTCACCCGTGTATAAGCATGCACATGATTTCTTAATAGCTATCTCTGAACCTGTATGTCGACCGGAACATATTCATGAGGTAAAAATATTACTATGAGTACCTAATATATGTGTGACTAATGAATGACTTTTGACATGGTAATTTTATTTTACAGTATAAATTAACTGCTTACTCCTTGTATGCCGCTGTCAGTGTTGGTCTTCAAACACATGATATTATAGAATATTTAAAAAGACTCAGTAAGACCAGTATCCCTGATGGGATCATAGAATTTATAAAATTATGTACATTATCATATGGAAAGGTGATTAAATCATTATATTAATTGCGGTGTATGAACAATTGCACGATTCAAACTGGTTACAGGTAAAACTAGTGTTAAAGCACAATAAATATTTTGTTGAATCTCCGTACCCTGAAGTATTACAAAAATTATTGAAAGATCCAGTGATTCAAGAATGTAGACTGAGAAAAAACGTAGAAGACGAGAAGGAAGAAATAATTACGAATGTTCAAAGCAAAACAAAAATTCCACAAGTAATAATTTCATATCAATGTACTAATGGAATTAATTGACCACCATCTGAAGCAATTGTTTTTAATTTAGTTTGGGGCAAAAGCAATCACTAATGTTCCAGCTGGAACAACTAAAGTACCTGAGACTACCAATGATCAAGTGCCAGCTGAAACTGCTGCAGTTCCAGAAGATATAACTACCTTTTACGATAAAATGGACAAAGAAGATGAAGACGAAGAAGAAGAGCAAGAATTGAAAACTGTTAGTTTTGAAGTGAACCAGGTATGTAACCCTTATTCTGTTTTACAAACTTTACGTCACTATAACGGAAATTTGTTGTAGGAAAAAATTGAAGTCATACAGAAAAGATGTATAGAATTGGAGCATCCGTTATTAGCAGAGTACGATTTCCGTAATGATACAGTAAATCCAGACATAAAGTAAGCATAGCGGTAGATAACTTAAAAAGAATTTGTGAACAGTTGGTAAATACTTCATTTTCAGTATTGACTTAAAACCGTCAGCTGTACTCAGACCTTATCAAGAGAAGAGTTTAAGGAAAATGTTTGGTAATGGACGTGCTAGGTCCGGTGTAATCGTTTTACCTTGCGGTAAGCAACAACTCGGTCACTACCAATTTCTTGGCTGACAATATGAATAATTGTTACGTGTCTTTTACAGGTGCTGGTAAAAGTTTAGTGGGAGTTACAGCTTGTTGTACAGTACGAAAACGTGCGTTGGTATTATGCAATTCTGGAGTGTCAGTAGAACAATGGAAACAGCAATTTAAGATGTGGTCCACTGCCGACGACTCAATGATTTGTCGGTTCACGAGCGAAGCTAAGGATAAACCTATGGGCTGTGGAATTTTAATCACAACGTATTCTATGATTACACACACTCAGAAACGTTCTTGGGAAGCTGAGCAAACCATGCGATGGCTTCAGGAACAAGAATGGGGAATCATGGTTTTGGATGGTAATTGTAGCTGACAGTAGATAGAACTGCTTTTTAATTGATTTTAGCAAATACATATTTTGCAACTTCTAGAGGTACACACAATTCCTGCAAAAATGTTCAGAAGGGTCTTAACTATTGTTCAGTCCCATTGCAAATTGGGTTTAACTGCAACTTTATTGCGAGAAGATGATAAAATTGCTGACCTGAATTTCCTTATCGGCCCCAAACTCTATGAAGCTAATTGGTTAGAACTTCAGAAAAGGGGTTTCATCGCGAGAGTGCAGTGTGCGGAAGTTTGGTGTCCTATGACGCCAGAATTTTACAGAGAATATCTTGGTTGTAAAATGAGCAAAAAATTGGTAACTACTCATTCCTGATACTGCTTCAATATAATAACGTCAGAATAGTAGCCGATTTAGATTAGCCGATTAGATAAAATCGATGTTAAATTACTTTTTCTGTACAGTTGCTCTACGTGATGAATCCTAACAAATTTCGTTGTTGCCAATATTTGATACGGTATCACGAAAGACGTGGCGACAAAACGATTGTGTTCTCGGATAACGTTTTTGCTTTGAAGCATTACGCTATAAAAATGAATAAACCATACATTTATGGTCCTACCAGTCAGGTAAGTAAAATGTTTTATTTTCGATTATTATTCCATCGTTAACTTGTATCACCATGATCGTATTATGCTTAGAGCGAACGAATACAAATCCTGCAAAATTTCAAATTCAATACGAAAGTGAACACGATATTCGTGAGTAAAGTGGCAGATACGTCGTTCGACTTACCGGAAGCTAACGTCTTGATTCAAATATCCTCGCATGGTGGTTCTCGACGTCAGGAAGCCCAGCGATTGGGTAGAATTTTAAGAGCTAAGAAAGGTAAGAATTCCCACCAGGTAAAGATAGAAATAGTCCAATTCAAACTAGAAAACGTAAATACGAATAAAATGTATCTTCAGGGGCGATCGCAGAGGAGTACAATGCTTTCTTCTACACGTTAGTTTCACAAGACACCATGGAAATGAACTATTCGAGAAAACGTCAACGGTTTCTTGTGAATCAAGGATATGCTTATAAAGTTATCACGAAACTTGCAGGGATGGATGAAGTACGTAGAATTGTTTGGATATTGGAAACTGTTCGCGAATTATTAAAATCCAATTTTGTTTATTTATATAGGAACCAGATCTGATGTACGCGACTCGAGAAGAGCAGGGCCATTTATTGCAACAGGTTCTCTCTGCCAGTGACATGGATGCCGACGAGGAAAGAATACCCGGAGAAGGTCCCAGACCCGTAAGTTTGATATTCTATTAAAATCGAGTAAACCGATTCGTTGTACTATGTTAATCGTATTTAAATTATTACTTTAGATTGTACGCAAGGCCGGTAATCTGACGTCGATGTCTGGCGCTGACGACGCAGTTTATTACGAATACAGAAAAGCCCCTGGCTCGTCCACCGCGAACAAACATCCATTGTTTAAAAAGTTCAGGGCTTAATCGTAAATGTATTTATCGGTTAGTATTAATTTTGCGACTGATTGAAAGATAATTTTTTATATATTTAAATTTTGTATACATTTTATACGGATTCGGCGTACACTGCTGGAAACGAAGGTGATACCTTGTTCTTCTGTTGTAATCACTGAACAGATTGTTATTGCGATACTTTGCTCGAACGTGACAATCAATAACCTGTACACCGTCTATATAGAACACTACACGCGTTTTGGTTCTTGGCAAACTTGATACGCTCATGATTTACATGGCAGTAATACACTTTACGTAAATGTAAACTCGTAACTCGGTTGATTTAAGTAACGCGATAAGGACATACCCGATAAATTTGTTAGCACGTAGCAATGACGGTCCCCGCTCTATTTATCAAAGGCAGGTCACCGCTCTATTTATCAAAAGGAGCTTAGCTGAGCCACACCTGAAGAAAAGGAAGAATTACATGTGTCCCTTGTGTACATATTTACAGTGAAACTTATCTGAATACTAGTTTAAGATGTAATAGAAGCAACCTAAATAAACAACCATGCCGCTACCGATGTAATTCCCAGATGAAAGTATCCATTCTCTTGTTCGCCTCTAGAAAATTAAATACCTGTATCGCTGACAATATTATTGCGAGAAAATATCTGTCGCAATAAAGTTAAAAAGTACTCGTTAACAAACAAAAAGAAACATTGAAACCCTAACCCACGTAAGTACGCAAATATTATGTAAATTCGTATAGAACTCACCGGAATTTCTATTTGCCTCTCGAGTTGAAAATTTCAAGATTGCTGAGCATTCGCTCGGTAAATATTTACCGTCGTTCTACATTTCGAAAATAAACGGAACGTTAAGGAATACATCATAGAGCCCGACATTACCGCACAGGCGATAACATCTGAGATAGCGACGGCCACATTCGTCTGTTTCACTGGTTCCCGGCGCCGAGATGTTGAAAGGGAGGGAGGGGTCGTGCAAATCTGCCATTTATTCGTAAAAGGAACAGGCTACGCGCGCCAGATGTCGGTTGGCTGGCACGACCAATGACGCGTTCGCTCTGAGCTTTGCCGCGAAGCGGCGGTGCGAATCTGCCGGCTGTCACATGCAGCCAGTTATCCCGTCGACGCTTGACGGTGCATCGTTGCAGGTGCGTCTAAACTGGTTCGACTCCGTCGATCCGCCGTTTCCTCGGTTCCTGCCGCGATTGACTTTTCGCGTTGCTCGGCCGGCCGTGCGAATCGGTCGTGTCACACTCGGCGAAACGACGACGGCCTTCGAGTATGCATCGACTTGGCGACGCCAGTGCCATACCTGCGGTGAGACTAGAAGAGGACAGGTTCGCGTAGGCGCATCGTCGTTATGAATGGAAGCGGTCGTCCTGTTTGACATAACCGTGTTGCATCGCGGTGGAATATCGAACGAACGAGGGGCTCAAGAACGCTCGGGAGTCGTGACGCTCACCACCGTCGAAGCGAGAGAGCCCGGGCACGTCCGTGTGAAACACTGAACAACGCGGAGAAAGAGGATCGTCGAGGGCAGAACGGCGAGACGTAACGACGAGGCACACGGACCGCGCGCGTTGTCGTCGGAAAGGGGCGAAGTTCAATGCATTCGTGAAAATTGGGGAGCATCTGTGTCGGTGTGGCTGCGTCGTGAGAAAAGAGGGTGCCCCCACGGCGTGTATATGTCAGTGATCGGTGAACGCAGGCGGCGGTCCTTGTTCCATCCGAAGCCGAACGGTGGACGGGAAGCGAGACGACAGAGAAAGCCGAGGCAGGAGCTGCTGCTGCTGTACCACATCGTCGACAGCGTGCCGGCGTTTCGAGTGGCTGAGAGTTCGTGGACGGCCACCTTAACCGCGAGGCAAACCAGCGCGTGAATGTATTGGAAGCGGTGGCCGCGCGTCCTACGTCGCCGTCGCCGTTGCGAACGCCGTGAAAACGGTACGGCATCGTGGATATCGTCGGGAGGCCATCCGCGCCCATGGACACATCACCCGGACCGATGGCACAGCGCGTGTCGTGATCGCGGCGCGACGGAAACGTCGAGAATGCCGCGGACGTCACTCTCGTCGTCGGATGGAAGGATGGCGGTAATCGAGATCGTCGACGAGATCGATGCGCATTGGAACGGAATCGATTAATAAATCAGCGAAACGATACGGGGGAAGACAAAACGGCGAAGTGCGCGTGGTTAGGTGAGGTGAGGTGTGGTGTGGTGAGGTGTGGTGAGAGGTGAGAGGTGAGGTGTGGTGAGCCGGAGGTACACCTCTCCCTCCCCCTCCCGCCGCCGGTCGGAGGTTAGGACTTCCTAGGTACACGCGAGGATCCCCGAAGATGAACTTCATGATATATACCCTGTATGGGTTCGCGGTGTTCTTCATGATATTCTGGTCGGGTATGTGGATCCTCCATGTGCTGGCGTTGATAGCCGGTCGATGCAAGCTGCACCGTAAAATCATCCAAGTGCCGACGTACGAGACCCCGTTGCCCGGCGTGTCGATCATCAAACCGTTGATGGGCGTTGATCCGAACCTGTACAACAACCTGGAGACGTTCTTCACGATGGAGTACCCCCGGTACGAGCTGCTGTTCTGCGTGGAGGACGACTCGGACCCGGTGCTGATGCTGGTGCGCAAGCTGATCGAGAAGTACCCGGAGGTGGACGCCAGGCTGTTCACCGGCGGCCGTAACGTGGGCGTGAATCCGAAGATCAACAACATGCAGCCGGCGTACGAGGCGGCGAAACACGAGCTCGTGTTGATAAGCGACAGCGGTATTAAAATGAAAGAGGACACTCTCCTCGACATGGTGAATTACATGACGGACAACGTGGCGCTGGTCCACCAAATGCCGTTCACGTGCGACCGGGAGGGTTTCGCCGCCGCGTACGAGAAGATCTTCTTCGGCACCGTGCAGTCGCGCATGTACCTGGCCGCCGACCTGCTACGGATCAACTGCCACACAGGCATGTCCGCGTTGCTGAGGAAGGCGCCGCTGGACGAGGTGGGCGGACTGAAAACGTTCGGCGTGTACCTGGCCGAGGACTTTTTCTACGCAAAGTCGTTGACCGACCGGGGCTGGCGTATCACGGTCTCCTCGCAGCCGGCGTTGCAGAACAGCGGCCACTGCGAGCTGCATTCCTTCCAGGCGAGGCTACGAAGGTGGGCGAAACTCAGAGTGGCCATGCTGCCCACCACGATCGTGCTGGAGCCGTTGAGCGAGTGCTTAGTGTTAGGTGCCTGTGCTTCCTGGGCGGCCAGCGTACTCCTCGAGTGGGACTCGCTTGTTTTCTATTTGGTACACATACTTTTGTGGTTCATGCTCGACTGGACGCTGCTGTGCGTCGTGCAGAACGGCCCGCTGCCGTTCAACAAATTAGAGTTTGTGTGCGGATGGTTGCTCAGCGAGATCACCAGGCCCTATCTTTTCCTCCAAGCGGTTCTAGATCCCCTGATACAGTGGCGATCCCGCGTTTACAAGCTCAGGTGGGGCGGCGTCGCGGAAGAGGTTAAGGCAAAAGTCAAATATTAAAACGGACCGCGTGGGAAACCGCGTTCTTCGTTCTCCATTGTCTTTCTCTATCTCTATATTTCTCTCTCTCTCTCTCTCTTCTTTCTCTCTTTCTCTCTCTCTCTCTTCTCTCTTTCTGTCCCTTACCTCTGGTACTCATTTGGTTGTGTCAACGCATTGTGGACCGGATACATGCTTACCGACTTCTTCACCTGCGAGATAGATGTTTAAGGGAAATAGTATTAATATTAATCTCCGATTTCACACTGGTGACAAGTGGGGGGTTAGGGGAGACGAACAAAACGGTTCACTTTTGCTACCGATCTCATACTTAACGATAGAACTTTAAGTCGCGTTCCGGGGGGCGGATCTCGTGTTCGTCAAGGCGGTTCACAATGCGTTAAAACCAACGTGACCATGTTCGTGAAATTCCAGTGCGGGACAGTCCGAATCGTACTAATTTTATCTTCTTTGGATTCTTAATGGCAGTCTGTGGCAAAAAATAGCACACCTATCTGTTACTTATCGCGTTTAAGTATGGATCTATCAGCTTAATCGGTTCAAACGACTCTTGTAATTTCTACAAAATTACCTGTTAATCCGTAAGAACCGCTACTCCCGTTCAAAGTGATTGTCCTTTTAATTTTGGAGGACTGCTTCTCTTGTCTGCCTCATTGTTGCAAATGAATCCGAGACATCGTTCGTTTCGTTGTTTTGTAACAAACTGTAAATAACTTTTTTACCGCAATGGATAATCCAACAGATATTTATTGCAAGAATATTTTTGTTAACCGAGCGTAAACTCAATGTAAATAATACCGGTTCCACTCTCTCGCTTTGTTTTCATCGTGTCCCGGATTAATTTTTCCTTAAAAAATTCGAAACAAATCATACGTTCATACGATCTTTGCACTCGCTTCGAACACTTGCACAGTTCAACCTCAACCGAAGGCAGAATATTCTACGATACGCTACAACCCGTCGCTATTTACATTGTCGGTTGAAAGGCAAACATCTAGTACACCGCGTCTATCGAAACATTAACACCGATCCTTCAGAATTGAAAGTAACAAATAACAAAATCCCGTCGCGGGTTCATCTCGACCGAATAAAATCACAGAAATGTTACGTGTGCTACGCTTTTGTCGCGGACTGATGAAAAGTGGATTTCGGTCAGTGATATCGTCAAATGAGGACTGTTTTGCACAATCCAAAGCGTTTGGTCATGTTCGTCGTTGCAAGGCATCCATTACGCGACAGCGTAGGTGTTCCTGTATTTTTTTTTAATTTAATTTAATTTTATTTTAATGACACCCGATATATTTTTTGCTATACTTATTTGTATTACGTTAGAACGAGATATAAAAAATATGCGCCGCATACGCACGACACATACATACACACACACACACACACACACGTACACTCGCGCGATGCACTTACATACGTATATACATACAAAGAGATATGTATAAATATTATACGGGGGATGTTACCGCGGGCGCGTACAATATACATGCAAGCGTCTTACGTAAACACGGTAACGGTGCAATATGTAAGGATACGCATGCCGCGCGGACATCGCTTTCGATTATTTTACACACTATACCCGCCGACTGGGAATGATACGCTCACCGATCGTGCAATGTTTTTCTTTCTCAGTCCTGTTTCTCTCTTTCTTTCTCTCTTTCTTGTTTACCCGGAATAGGTTATGTTAGAGTGTAACGGGTTGCGCTTAACTAGACTGCTGATTCAACGGGGACACGACCGTTGAATCATTAACGCTCTCCGATACCCCTTTCCAAACGACACTTTCGTTTGCATCGTTTTGTGCTACCTGTAAATAACGACGGCAAAATAGACAATCGGAAGCGTCGTTACAGCGGAACGTCGAGCGTCGGTGCGTCACTCGCGATGATTTTTTTTTTTTACTTTATTTTAACCCTTAACGGACGTACGTCACCGCCCACGTGACATCGCGGGCATCGTGACGAACCTTTATCCGTCACGTGACGCGGTTATCTTTCCCTTCGCGCCGGAAAATGTTTCAGAGAATATCTGCACGTACGAACGAAGAATTCAAGCTTTCGCGTTTAATTTTCAATCGCCGTTTAACGTTAGAACTACCGGATCAGTGGAAACGATCGATTCCTAAATTCTTCTTTTAGAGTTACCGCGGAGGTACAGGTACTTCTTTAAGAAACGACTCGAGAAGCTGGTTTAGCAATACTAGTTTTTTTTAACACTTGGGCAACCGTCTAAAAATAACTGTAACTACCTCTTCCATTATCTTCGATTGAACTCGTTCGATTAATTTGGCTGAAAACTTTGTTTCGTAAAAACAACCGTATTTGACGAATTGCAAATAATCCTACTTGAAGACTTACTAAACAACAAAAGAGAAGATAAAATAAAAGACAATACGTTGCTAAGTGAAAAGTGGGAGATCCCATTCGGTTGGCTAAGCGTTAATAAATTCGCTTGTAGCTGTCAAAGAAATGTTCGAAAGACGGTCCACGTGCTCGGTAGTTCTAGCGTTAATATTCTGATATTTGGATCGCGACGGAAAATCTTGAAGTATACCTGCTCTTACGCAATAAAACTCGCGTGGAATAATTCGCGAAGCTTCTCTCGCGAGCACATCGCAAAGATCTACCTGACAGATTAGATCTGAACCATTGACGTCCAATAAGGGTTAATTAGTCCGCCGAATTAGCCCGTGCTGTCTCGGTGGGTCGAGGAAAATGTCAAAACCGGAATTCTGATGAACATTCGTAGTCTAGTCAGTAATGTTTCCATCCTCTCTCTAGGCTCGGAGGAAGGGGGGTCGAGGACAGATAGTAACGAGGCCGACCTTAGGTCCCTTATCGCAACGCGGAATAATTGATGTGTTCTAATGAAACAGTTCCCCGGAGAAAATACTTGCGAAAGTGTACCGCAGCTGTCTTGACGCGCTGCCGACGCGACGTCTCGTCGATTCGTAAAATGTTTATGTCCCTTATCGTTGCGGCAACTGGAACTGTTCTAATAACCGGAGATCCGAATGAGTTTGTTTTGTCACCGTGACACCCGGCACGGCAGCAATGAGAAAAAACGTGGTTACAGTCGCCACGGTGCGTTCACATTGACACCCGATAGCCTTTTGGCGGGGAAACGAGGAAGCGAACGGACCGACTCGGCTAAACCGGCGAAATAAAGTCGACGAGTCAACTCGTTTCTCTTGTGTCAACGGTTTCACGCCGCTTCGACGCTTTCCATTCGTTGTTTATCTCTCGCATTGGGTTAGGTCAAAACAATGCGGCTAACCGTCGCAGCGAATGAGATGCCTCGGTCGCGCTCGTTGTTTCGCTGGATATTGTAAACAGGAGAAAAGGCACGCGAGACAAAATTCACGTCGCGGAGGGAAAGTCACCGTGGCTCGTGTTCTGTGTTGTGTTTCGTGGTGATGCGTCCGCGTTATTTTTCCCGGCGTCGTTCCCGATAAGATCGGGGGGAAAGTGGAGCCGCGGCGAAACGAGATGCACGGTTAGCGAAATTCGCGAGACAAAGCCGTGCAGATGGCGCGAGTGTGATCCTCGTTTGAAAAAAATCGTTCGATTACGGACACCGGTATTGCGCGCGGCTTGACAGCGACCTCTCACAAGAAGAAGTCGTTTAATCATGGCGGATTAGGTGGAAAATATTACACAAGTGTTTTTTCGAATCTTCCTTTCCGTTTGCCACACGCGAACGTAAACACGACGCGCACGATGAACCGGAGGGGAACGTGTGTACCGTAACCGAAGTTAACCTTAACGTTGTCTTGCCGATCGTACCTTTCGGGTGAGTGTTCAAAATGTAATATCGCCTGAACAGATTTTTAAACGAGTCTCCGAGCTGTGCAACTCGATTTGTCAGTTTGTTCGTACGGTTTTGACGGATTCGTCGGAAATTGGAAGGATTTAGGCGTTCCTTTCTTTCTCGTCTTCGACTTCATTTGTATTTACAACACGCGGCAATGAGTCGTAATGACCGCGCGATGTTCGGCATCCGTTTCGAGGTTAACTGTCCCGGGGACGCGACGTGTTCCAACGGTTTTTCCGTTGATCGTGTAAACAGGAGATTTTTCACGGATTCAAAGGGATTCGGGCAACCGGATCAACCGATCGGACAATCGTACCAAAAAGAACTTAATCGTGGATATTTCTGATTAAATCTAACCCACCAATTTTAAGACTCTAAGAAATTAAGCCGGATATCTGTGTACGTGATGCTGTTAAGTGTCAGCTAATCGATCCTCGCGATCTTTCTAATCGTGCTGCGCAGGAAGGAGTCCAGGTACGCTCGATTTCATTGAAATTGCGTTTAAGGCTGTGTTAGAGGTTAGAGATAATGTATAAACGAATTTAAGCTGGGTTCGCGATGCGGGCACGACTTTCAGCGATTTTTCGAATTGGAAGTTTCGACACACGACCTACCGCAACGGTGTATAGAGTACTCCCGCGAAAAGTTACTCTCTCTATACCTACTTTTACCTGTTGTATTAAACGCTACATAGAACTGCTCACACACACAGTCTCGGGCAGCTCCTTAACCCCTTGCTTTGCAACATGTGTCAGAGGCGAATTCCAATATGCTTTAACCCTTTGCACTCGAGAATGCTTTTCTCAAGAAATATTCATTATTTTCTGATGAAATGTCGATGATACTTTTTACAACTAACATAAAGAAATACCTTGCATAAACTGACAGAACTATTTCATTTCGATGTTCCTTGTGTTGATACATTATAGACAGTTTAATATTGAATTTGAGATTTCATTTTCTTGGGTCAAATCAAGTGGTGAAAGTCATTACTCGAGTGCAAAGGGTTAAGTTTAAACGAAGCCTCGTGCTAGCGATTTGTATGGTTTCTACTAAATTTAGACATAGAAAGAGCATGGAATGTTTTCTTTTGCATTATTAACGATAAATAGTAACGAAGGCAGCTACGAAATTCAATCGTAAGGCAAGGGGTCAAGCAGAGGTAACAGGGGAACGCTGGTGTAAGTTGGACACCTCTGACCTACCGTATATTTTTTTAATAATTTATTACGAGGGATCTCTGAAATGATTTCTATGAAATAAAAGTCTGGAGTGACGTCTAGCGCTCCCGCTTTCCTCGCGGTCGCTGCAGTCAGTCAATTTCAAGGTTTTACCCTTCGTGGAACGTAACGAAGCGAAGAATCGGACGCGAGGTGACAGTCATCAAGGAAAAGTTAATTTCTCGCTAATAAACGACATTAGCTCGCAACGCATCCGAGACAATTGATAAGCTGGGGTTGGCCAACCTCACGTGCATTTCCCGTATTACTCGAGCTCCTTGCGACAGCCGACGCGCTGGTTCTCAAGCAGCGTTGGGCAATAGTTACTCGGAGTAACGAATAAATTCAGTTTTTATCCTCACTTTCGAACAACGCCGAATAACTTACTCGTGACTTACGATCACGGAACGAAACGAATTTATTCGTTAGTTTTTATTCGTCGTTTGGAATGTTTTAAGTAAAACGATCGACACATTCCCAAGGAGTCATCCTGATGCTTAGATACTAACAACTCGAATCAATTATTTATTTCTCATTGTCGTTGAACAAACCGTCGAACAACGCCCAACACTGTTCCCAAGTGAGGTTGAATTCAGTCCCATGGTGCACGTGTTATTCGATGCGACGCAGGTTATAACTTCGCCTCGTAAATACGCGCGTAAGATGTTTCCATTTCTCTTTTGTTTTTCTTGTTTGCTCATTTCGGAAACGGAATCGCCCTACCGATTGTTCTTTTGACGTCGTCGGGTCGGATAGGGGGAACTATCTAGTCTTCTGATAACCACGATTCTGGTCATCAGTCAATCGCTCCATGTACTCTAACGTCGTCATTATTTGTATATGTGTATATAAATATATTTTCCGTTTTTTTCTTTCTATTTTCAATCGAGATTATGTACTTGAATGCATGTAACGCGGAACTATTATTATTATTGTTATTATTATTATTATTATTATTATTATTATTATTATTATTATTATTATTATTATTATTATTACTACTATTATTACTACCATGTATTATTATCATATGTTCGCATTAACCGATGACGAGAGAGGTATTAACTTATATTAATATCTAATTGTCATCCAACGCTCGCGTTCGCGAACGGAGAAACATCCGCCATATTGCGTACGTGACTAGGCATTGTTTGTCACGAGTATTTATTATTCTTAAAGAAACACGAACAGATGCACGGAACTTGCATCGGCGTGACAGTTAAAACCGGATTCACGAATCTGCGGCCAACCAGACGGCGAAAACGGAACATCGTCGGAAGGATTGTTTATTTAAATATTGTCCGGGGAGCGGTCTCGCTGAATTTCCGTTCCGCGTTGTTCGCCGGGTCGCGCGAAATGAATATTTATTCCATACGACTTTGTAAATAACCGTGAAAGCTTGTAAATAGACCCGAGAACGGCGTTTTATAAAGACGCGTCTCGGCATTAAAGGTTTTTACCGAGTGGTCGACTTTATGTTTTCATTTTGTTACTCGTTTCTCACTTCCTTTTCGGATTTCCGTGTAAAATGCGAAAGATTGCTGGAAACGTCGAAAGATCATCGTACGCGTTGCCGATACGCGTGGCAGTTTGTCTCTAGGGCCTCCTCTTCCAGCTTCAGTAGTCTAGTTGGCTTCGGTAAATTTATTAACGTTGGTAAAATTGTCTATTTTTAAACTTCTAATTTCAAAGATCTCGATAAATGGACAGCAGTTTTTCTGGGAACAATAGAATAAACAATGAATATTTGTAGACGTAGGAATTTCGGGCGAATCGGATATTTCTCTCTGTTCAGTTTATCCAAAATTTGTTTCGCTGATATTGAAGTTGAATGTGTATTAATGAGAAATTAATGAAAGTATATAGTCATTCTTAGTTCTGTCTGTTCATTTTCTCCTGTTAAATCAGAACTGTTCCGATTCGCCTTAGTCTGCCATATCGGTAAAAGGACATTGGGCTTCCGATTCCTGCGTGTAATGTAGATTGCATCGGTCCCGACTCAACGATAACAATTTACACGTCGAAACGTGAATCATGAAAGCCAGGCATCGACGCGTGCATCGGCAACACGTATCTCGACGTGTAGAGGCCTCGACGCGGCCGAGGGAAAGTTGCAGATTCAGTAATTTCTCCGCGGCGAGCGGAGTGGCGGCGCTTAACGACAAAAGTGAATCCGGGGCTTTTGAACCCTAACACTTTCATCGGTCAAGTGGTCAATTAATGGAGATATTTATACGACACGAGCGAACCGTTTGGCCCCTGAAATCGTCGACTTCAGTGACCATAATGAGCTCAACTGGCCCGACAAGATGGCCGGCGTCGATCCGCCATCGCTGCAGTTCGGCGCTGCCCGAGAATCGTTGGTGGGCACGCAATCTTATCTACCGTAACCCCCCGCCAGCTTACAGGCTGTCCCCAAAACCACAATGCAATTGAAAAGCCGATTATCCCGCCTGGAAAACCAAGTGGGAAGTATAGAATTATTTTTATACGATGCCTCGTTCTCGCTCGCGCGCGAAAGTTTGCGCGCCCACGGTGTTCAATAAGAATCGGCTAACATTTATCCACGTCCTGCCATTTCCAGCTACAAATATCCGACGAGTGTAAAGTAAACTTTCGAAATCTATTATCTGGATGATGAAGTCCTTCGCAAGAAAGTGTCAGCCCATATATCCCATTTGTTTTCTCGCTTCCTCCTACGATTTCAAAAATACACTGTGTATACACGGTCTCTCTGATATTCTTTATTTCTCATTCCCCGCGAAGATGAGTGGAGAGCAAACAGCGGAATCGAGTAGGATCGCCGATACGTCTTCCGCGGTTAATAGCCTGGTGTTAACGTTATGTAACCGGTGCAACGTGTCGTCAACCATTGAATGTTAGCAACAGTTATCTTGAGATCAGTCTCAGCCGGCTGTTTTTAAGTACTCGTTGTATCATCGCTATTGTATCATCTCTGGGGACTTCCCCGAAACTCCGACGATTTTTTTTCGCGGTTACGTAGAGCGTATATCTAGGTTATCGACGGTTCGGTAATCCTCATCCTAGTATTCGCTAACACGCCACTCGGTGTTCCTGGTAATCGTTTCATCGTGCGCCAACTTATCGAGACAGATGCGATACCTTCCTTATCGCACGTACTTTTTCGATTGCGACGCCGCTATCTTTTCCTATATCTGTCTTCGTCGCTTTTTTCTTTGCACAGGTGGTTTATTGATCATTTTTCCGCGGTACTGCCAAGCGTTCGCCATGAATCACGGCCGATCAACGGCTCTCCGGGAGGAACCCTCGCTGCGAAAGCTCTTTAGACATTCGAAGAAGGAAATTGAAAAGCGTCGCTCATCGCCGCGACGCTCGTTACCCGGGGAAATCAAGCCGCGGCGCGTGAATGCAATTAACCGCCAGGTTGTCTGCTCGCGCTTTCCCCTTGTAATTAACACTAGAACTACCGAGCATTTAATACGGTTAATATGTGAACCCTATGAAAGTTGTAACAGTAGATTATCTTCGGTTCCTTCAGACGTTCATTGTAGTATTCAAGCGAAACGATTTATTTTCAAGACCATTTCGAATGTTCGATGCTTTTAAGATATCAATAATTGCGAAATGAAACAATCAAATGAAACGTGAAAATCACGGTAGATCCCCCTCTGTAACGCGATTAAAATATTCCGTGTTACGGGTTTCACGTTTACGAATTCCGCGTGAGATTCCCCTTTCGGATACCGATCCAACTTGTATCGAGTTGGTCCTCCGCTTGTATCAATTTCTTACGGAAACTCTCACTTTCATAGCTATTTTTCGATGATCTTTTAATCGCGTTATAGCGGGTCCAACTGTATCACGTTAAAAATCTATTCCACCGAGACGTGAATTGGATGTGGCACTCCTAATACCACCAGACGGGTCTCTTCTCCAAAATCATTGAGAAGGTATTGATGATCTCCGGAGAAGTTGAATACGTTGATTCCGATGAACCCGAACTATCGCGATACAGGCAAAGTGGAATCTCGATGAATAGCCAATTCTGGTGATCAAGGATGGCATTCGAGGATATCGATTTCTATAGAATGTTTACAAATTTTTGAAATTGTCGCGCGAGCAGCTGATTTACAAGTCGATCGAGTTTCTCCGGTATCGCGCATATTCGTCTTCTCTTTTCACCTCGTTCTATGCAAATGCCTCGAACCTTGTGCGCGATTCACGGTTTAAAAATATTCGTCGCCGGCGGATTGCGGATGTTCATGCTAATTTGCGATTCTAACCGTGCACGTCGAACGGAATCTCGCGTTTCTCTGTTTTCGAACAGGCATTCGGCCCTTCCTTCCCGGTTGCGGCGAGCAATCCGCGCTGTCGAACGTCCATCGACGAACAAACATCTGGTTCGACGTTCTTTTTAATAACGTTTACTGGGAAAATCATTATAACTCTATTTTTCTAATTGTACTCTTACAAATTTCGACTGACGCGAAGGTCGATCGGCGAGCCACAGATTTCTATCTCTCAGAAAGTCACGTAAAACCTCGCAAGCGTGTGTTCCGTAATATTCTCCCGTAATTTATTCGCGAATATAATATTCATACCGCAGTACTTGTTAATAATTGTAAAGTAACGATCCAAATAATGCTGTAATAATCTCAAGCATAGTTTCCTATATCTCTCTCGGAGTACCATTTTCCATTGGAATTCCGTATTTCGTGTCGCAAGATAAACAAGGCGGAAATAGAAACGTTGTGGCTTTCCGAAGACTGACGAATCGGAGCTTCCGCAGGGGTCCTCTTAATGTCTCAATTAACCGCTCGATTAACCAGCTTCCCATTAACCCTTTACCGGCGAGGATTTCTTCGAAGTATCGAGAACCTTTCGCCGTGGGAGTTGAATTGCGCATCGAAGTTTTGAATGGAGGAAAAGGAAACTGGTGATTTGTTATTCGAACAAACTCATTGTTTACAACTTTGTATACTTGATGTGAAAGTTTGATGTGGAAATGACGACATTCGTCCTCAAAGATCCTTTCGTCGGGAAACTGAATCCTAGGAACATTCTATGCATACGTTCACTCGAAAGTACAGTCATTGATAACGGGAGAGCAGCGTTTAATTCGCACACGAAAGAATCGTGTAGTATCTATCTTTACCCGATTTCGTTTGAAATTATCGCCACGGGTCTCTTACTCAATGTTACAGGGCAAGGGGTTAATCCTCTGCACTCCAGAGACTCTCGGTTACTACGTGATTTGATAAGTCAAACTATCAAGCTTGATATTCATCAGTTAACCGTGGAATTTTTTCTGAACAATCATTCAAAATAGACTCAGCGACGAGCATACGCGTCGAACGCGAAGCTGATTAATGTACTTAACCGCTTATCTTATGATTCGTTTCTTAATAATCATCGATGCAACCGATAAATCTAATCTAATACGATAATGTTTCAGAGAAGAACCGATTTCGATGTTTATTCTCTCTACGCTTACTACAAAGCTTAACGATCGATAATAAAAAAGTATTACGGAATTTATATTTATATTGAATTTATATTGACTCCGGTCGACGAAATCGAGTTTCAACACCTTTTAAATCGTAGAGAATTTTATTTAAGTATCGGTACTCGGTTTGGTCGCACGTAAAAACTGCCTTCTCGCTTCCAGAAAAACTGATACATAGTCAAACCTGTTTTTCTAGCGTAGATAGGGACTGCATAAAAGAAACCGCGCAGAAAACAATGTTCAGAAATTTACGAAACAGCGAGAAAGTGCTTTCGAACGAAATAAATAATTGAATTACACGTGGAATCATTTTAAAAAAATTTAATTTCTCATACAAGGAGACATTTTCACAATGTATGTAATTCACTGCTACTTGTCGTAGTAAAAAACGCGCATCTTGCGATGAACTGGTTCAAATTTTCGTCGCTTAAAAAACAACACCGTTGGAATTCATGTACCGCATAAAAAAAATCGCACAAAAAGAATTGCATAGAAAAGGACCACACAAAAACAGGTTTCACTGTATATATATATATATATATATATATATATATTATTATGGGAAATGTGGTAGGGAAGAGGTCAAAAGGTAGATCTGTCTTAGTGACTCAGTAATCTTAACCCTTTGCATTCGAGAGGTCAGAGTCACCATTCGATTTGACACTGCAAAATTATGAAGTGAACGTTTAGTATGTTAAATGAAACTTTCTATTGCAATGTGAAATATTTCGATAACATAGCTTTGTTGCTTAATTTCTCTGTGAATTATCGTTGAGTTAGTTTCAAACGATGCCGACTACATCTCGTTGGAAAATGTTGAATATTTCCAGGCGAAAACTTTCGAGTGCAAAGGGTTAATTGACGCATCCCTGGCTCGGCAATCGCGACGCATTGTCATTGGGTCATCGGGTATACAACATGGAAAACAAAGGAACGACATTTAAATTTGTCAAATTCAGTTGCAAATTTTCGCGCGAGTCCGACACGACATTACAAGCCAAGCAGTTAATGTATTAAAATAATCGGCCGACGCCGAGGTATCTCTAATTAGCATAGCCGCGAAAGAAATCGCGGGACAGGAGCTTAACCCTTTGCACTCCGCAGGCGCCTCTCAGTCGCCAGTTAATATCACAGCGGAATTAAGTTCGATATTCAATATTAATCTTTGTGCAACGTGTCCATATGTGGAATATTGAAAGAAATCAGTTTCGTTCAATTTACGTGTGATGTCTCCGTCGAGTCAGTTTGAAGGAATGTCGTTGGTATCTTAGAGAATGTTGAGCAGTTCTAATGAGGAACTTGTGGAGTGCGAAGGGTTAAAGGTTCAAGATCTCGGGTTATTTCCGCGCGAGTTTCCCCGACGACGCGAAGGTAACTTACGCCGCGGCGTTCCGGACGGGTCCAGGAAAAATCCCGGCCATTAGGAAGAAAAGGAACGCGGAGGTTCGAGGTTGACCTCAAAAATAAAAATCCTCCGGAGACGATGAGACCGCGTTTTATCGGTGATCGCCCCGTTAACGCTTCGAGCGCCGCGTCGCCGAGAAATGGGCCTCGTTCACTCGAATAGGAACCATTTTCTTATCTCCCGCGCACCTCGAATGCCACAATGGAGCCTTATTTTTTAACAGCTGCTTCACGGTGGCTGTCGAAAGACGCCATCCAATATTTTCATTCAACCTTTTGCACTCCAGAAATTTCTCACTGGAAGTATTCAATATTTTCTAATGAGACACTGACGACGTTTTCTTAGATGGAATTGAGAAATCTCACATGCATCGAGGAAAACTATTTTCTTTCAATGTTTCGTACACTGACGCATTATACGAAGTTTCTTATTAAATATCAAAGTTTACAGTTTTGCCGTGTCAAATCGTTTGGCGACTTAGAGGTGCCTCTGGAGTGCAAGGTGTTAACGTTATTTTACGATTCTGTTCCAATTCTAACCCTTTGCACTCCAGATGGTAATCAGCAACTAATTTTTATAGTATCCCTAGCGAAAATGAAAAATGCTATAACATTTCATAGATCTTTGGATCCTAGTGCAAAACTTGGATCTGTGAAAAATCTAATAATTGTAGGGTAGTTTCTTTAAGATTCATTAAAACGTCTAATATTATTCCTGGTGCATTATTGGAGCCTACAGAGTTCAAAGGGTTAATACTTGGAGCGTGCAGGTAAACGAGGAGGTTGTCAGGGATAATTGACAGTATAACAGACCTTTGCACTCGAAAGTTCTCCGCTGGAAATATTCGAAATTTCCTGATGAGATATACGATGTTTTTCAAGATTATTTTAACCACAATTTGATCACTTATATTAAGAACATCGGTTAGAAGCCAATGCGGTGGACAATTTCGAGATATTCTCTGATTTTTGCAAATCTCAATGGAATAAATTTCTCCTCGGTTATTCTGGGATTCATACCTTCTGAATACGTTGCGTAATCATTTCAGAAGCCATTACATTAGTTTCCTCTATTGTTCTTTTCTGGGCTCATTTTCATTGTATTCTTCTCTATAAATTTACTTCGACGCGTGAACCGAAGCACAGATGAAAAGTTCTCAGAGACTCGCCGTCCTTTTCTAAGACAGCTACGAGCAGCTCGGTGGCTGAAGCGTTGGGGAGTCATTCAACGTTCGTCAATACGACTTATTAAAATCCTCACGGCTCGAATAGCCGTATATATTAGATGAACAATCCCCGATACGCTCGCGGCGTGTTAACGCGGCGCCGGATCGCCGGTCAGCGAGAGACGGTCGCGCGCATAATTAAAAAGGCGGAATGATCTCACGCCGGCCGTCCCGCGCGCAGGATCAAGGAAACGACACTCGCACGCGTTCGTTACGCGCGACGAATGGGAACGAACCGAACCGAACCGAACCGGCCGAGTCACCGCGCGCGCAACCCGTGGTTTGCGGCTTCCTCGAATTGTCCCGGCGCGTGTGTAATTAACCGGCTGATAACAATAAGCGAGCCCGATACCGGGTCAATCTTGCAACATCATGGAATTCAGCCGGCGAAATTACAGTAATCGCTCGATCAATTCATTGAAATGTTTTCGAAGCGGTGTTGCCTCGAGCCTTAACGGGCCTCGGAAGTATTTCGAGTTGACTTACCAAACAATACCGTAATGCGGATAACAAGCGGAAGCAAATTCACTGAAGCGATCCGGCAGGATACTTAACGAGTTCATTGTGAATATTACAATGACAATGATAAACGTAATAAAATGAGTTTCCCCGTATGCGGCATTGGACGCAGTAAGCAAAGGTCGCTTGCTTACACTAGAAACACCGAGTATTTGATACGATTAATATGCAATCCCTATGCAAATTGTAAGATTATTTTCAGTTTCTTTAGACATTCATTGGAGTAAAATGGAACTATTTATTTAATTGCGAAATGAAACAATCGAAACATTTTGACTGGTACGGTAGTTTTAGGGTTAAGGGTTAACCCTTTGTAGAAATATTAGAAAATTTTCTGATGAGATGGAACAACGCTATTTTATTTCAATACTCGGATCGACGCGTAAAGGTAAAATATTAAATATCAAATTTCGTAGTTTCACAGTGTGAAATCAGGTGGCGAGTCACCTCTCGAGCGCAATGAATAATTCTGAATTTGAGTGATTTCGAATGTTAATGATTCGAGTAACCGCACACCGAAACTTCTGCTCCACCCGTCGCATGATGTCCCAGCGTTTGCGGAGCACCAGGAAAGAGGAAAGCTTCACCCTTGCCCTTTGCACTATAATTGTTCTCCTAGTCCGTTCTCGGCCGACTCTCGCTGAATTTTTCTGGCTCTGATAATATTACGCTGATTACGAAGAAATTGCTCGCAGTTATTCAAAGTTTAGGCGGCTGTCGGCGAAACGTGCTCCATATAGAACACTATGTCACGTGAGCTGACCTCGTAACGCAAAGGTTTAAATACCATAGTCGACGAGGTAGCTGAACATTCTCGCTGGTCCCAGCTTGTTCGTTATTAACATAACCTGGCCCGCAAGCCTAATATTAACACAAAATCTGCCAACCAGTGAAATCCACCCCATCGAATTTCTCCATGAAAACTCCAAGATTCCTCATTTCTATCGCAATTAACACGTTGAATGCCATGGGGGTCACCGGTGACCAACAAAATCGAATTACTGTAGTTCAATTAACACTAAAACTACCGGGCACTTCAATTGACTTTTGAAAATTTCGCTATAGAAACTCCGAGAGTGCATCTGTTCAGACTTTAATTGATTTACAATTGAATTTGCGTAGTGCTAAATGAATTTCTTTAATAATTTCTTAGAGAAACATTTGTTACCTTTCTAATAATTGCAAAAAGAAGACATCAAGCATGGGTCATTTGACCCCTCTGGTAGTTTTAGTGTTAAACGATGATTTGAAAACATTTCTATATTACAAATAATATTACCTAATTCGATGACATTTAACCAGATGAACGTGCAACAATCATGACGCGATTCAATCGAATGATTCAATATTCTTTCACTTTGCGTATTTTGCTCTATGGAATCGTGCTGCGTTTAACGTGTTAACTCTTAGCACTCCAGGTTGCTTTGTAATCCATCAGCAATTGCAACTAATTTTTATAGTATTCCTAGCGAAAATGAGAAATGCTATAACATTTCTTCGATCTTTTATTTTCCTTAGTACAAAATATTGGATGCGTGGAAAATCGAATAATTTTAGGGTAGTTTCTTTAAGATTCATTAAAATATTTAATATTCTAACTGATGCGATATCGAAGCCTACAGAGTTCAAAAGGTAAACAATTCCATTCACGTGTCAAGTTAATTTCTTTACTCGTCTCTCGCAGAGGCGTTTGTCAGGTTTCCAATAATTGTAAAAGAGGAATCTCGAAATGGGTCATCCCGATGTATTCGGCGGTGTTGCAGTGTTAAATGTAACACCCTCTACAGGACAGCGGACTCGTGTTAACAATCCCCAACAAGGAGCATCCGGGCGACGCGTCCAGCCGCAAATTGAACTCTTCCTTCTATCGGCGAGGTTCCTCCAGAGTGTGTGACAAGATTGAGACCACTTTGATCTGAATTGCCTCCGCTATAAATACGGTGCAACGAGCGCTTAACCTTGTAACCTGACTTGACGCGACGCCAAACTTCTTTCTCAAATTCCGCCGTTTGACACCGAGCCTCCTCCGCCGTTCCAGAATCCCTCTCTCGTTTGGCTCGCCGGCTCCTCCACCGGCGTTCACCTTGACAAAGCTAATCGCCGGCCAGAATTTCTTTCGGTTCTTCGTTCCTCTCTCTTTCCCTCGGTTTTCCTTGTTTCTCCTCCGACCTGCAAATCACTCGGTAGTAGTCAATGTTAAATCTTTCGGATATTTTCTGATTTTTCCAAATCTTATATTCTCTTCAGTTCCTCCCTCTTTTCTGGGTCAGAGAGCCCTTCGTTCCGTAGCTTCCGAATATGTTTTACGATCGTCTCGGAAGCCAAGACATTAATTCCCTCAATTCTTTCATTACTTAATATTGTCTTCCGAGCGAGTCAAATATCGCCAGATTTCTATTTGGAGCAGTGGGAACATTCATTGGTTCTTCATTCGAATCTCTAATTACTGTTAATTCTAGATTCCTTTACATTTATCGCGTATAATCTTCAAACATGCCTTCTTTCTATTCCCTTATAACCATATAACTTCAACACAGAAAAATCTTCGTGAACTCTCATCGTTATTAACCCTTTGAACTCTGTAGGCTCTAATATTGCACCAGGAATAATATTAGGTATTTCAATGAATCTTAAAGAAACTACCTACAATTATTAGATTTTTCATCCAAATTTTGCAGTAACAAGGAAAATAAAAGATCTAAGAAATGTTACAGCATGTTCCACTTTCGCTAGGAAGTTAAGGTTAGATACTATAAAAATTATTGGAACAGAATCGTAAAATAATTTCAACCCTTTGCACTCCAGAGGCGCCCCTAAGTCGCCAAACGATTCGACACGACAAAACTGTAAACTTTGATATTTAATAAGAAACTTTGCATAACGCGTCAATGTACGAAACATTGAAAGAAAATAGTGATGCATGTGAGATTTCTCAATTCCATCTAAGAAAACGTCGTCTGTCCCATTAAAAAATATTGAGTATTTCCGGTGAATAATATCTGGAGTGCTAAGGGTTAATCGTTTGTTCTTAATATTCGGTTATCACCACTTTGCCGGGCTACTCGAAATCGGAATTCAAAGATCGAGTCCGATCGGGGTTTTTATTCGTTTAATTTAATCGCGCTCGGCCCGCGGCCGGACGTCTGCCGGTTAACGGGTTGGCCCGTTAGATTGAGCGTGATTGAGCGCAACAATAACTGTGCGTCGTGCGGCCACATCGATAATTTCGTTATTAAGCGTTTCATTCCGCGTCGCATGACTCATTCCGGCCGACACACGCTGCTCGTAAAGCCAGCCGTTGATCCTTGAAGCGATTGCGTCGGGGAAGCCCGTGCGCGCGCGCCAGCGCTTCTCCTTCTTTTCGTTCCGCTCGAGTCCCACGATTTTATTTCCACCGCGGGAAATCCTTTGTTACGACTCGCGTAATCGCGGGGATAACGCGCACCGGAGTGTTCCGAGTTATTTCTCCGCGGAACCGGAGTCGCTTGACACGTTGAATGCCATGGGGGTCGTCACCGGTGACCAAACCGAAGTACTATGGTTTACTCGATTAACGCGTTAAGCGCCACGAAAATCTTAAGCGTTTTCCCATTGAGTTTTTCTGTCGTAGCGAAGGAAAGCAGAGACAGTTATTAATTACTCGACGTTACGATCCTTG